TGGTCTAAGTAAAGAGTTTCTGTGGTGGAGTTGAATAGACTATTGCTCTCACTGGTAACCTCACCTTTCCTTTGGTTGATGTCGTGGAGTATGGAGAGGTGTTTAGTTTGGCAAAGGTGGCAGGGCCTCTTCAGGTCACAGTCTTTGGCCACGTGGCAGCATGCACATTTCCAGCAGTACCATGCGGTACACTGGCTGAGGTAATTTTCTGTACTGCAGTATGGACAGGTGGCTTTGGGCTTGTTACGTGCTTTAGGATAAACTGCCTTGGGTTTGGTTAGTGGTTCTAAAACTTGTCTCAGTTACACGCCATGCAGTATGGTGGTTTGTTTTCTTTGTCCCCGAATTGCTGCCCTTTGATCTCGCTGTGTGGCTCTTGTCTCGTCAGCTGGGTCAAATTTCATACAGATGCAGCCAATCTGCAAACGCGAGGAGGGAGAACTTAGTCTTATCTGGGTTTCTCTGAGGTGATGCATCCTGAATTGGGTTTGTTGTGAACGAGGAAGATGATTCAGAAGGCGTTTCACATTTGACCCACTGTGCAGTTCTTCAATCCCATCACCCTTTAGGGCTTTGAGCATGGCTCTCCAAAGTATCTATTTCCATAAGTACGGACTGGTAGGGCCGACCATACTTTCTGTCAAGGGCTTGCAGGCCATTAGTATAAGGCATGACTGACTCCGCATGTGCTAACACCAGTCTGTGAGCATTAGGCACCTTCAAATGCTTAAAAAGGATGGAGTACTTATAATGCTCTGCTAATTGTGAGTGGAGCAGGTTGTCCAGAGCGATCCTTAGTTCCACATACTGGGCTCTGTCCTCTTTAATGAAAGCTGGGAAGGTTGGGCCTTCTACTGTTGGAAGCCAGTATGATGAGGGATGGGGGGTGTAGGGTACAGCTGTCCTTTCTCCACTGATTTAAGAAGCTGGGTCCTAAGTGTCTGATGCCAGGATGATGCTTGTGAGGAGTGGGCGGATGCTTGAGGAGTTCTGTGTAGCAGGACTTTCTCCAAGAGTTATGTTTGACGTCTAGCAGTCTTGCTCTGTTGCTTGGTAATTTCCATTATTTGGAGTATAAAGTCCTCTGTTGAACCAGCTGTTCCGAATGGGTGTTGAGAGGAGATGGGGGTTGAAGTCACCATTTCCTTCTCTTTAGGTCTAACAGCCTGCCCGGATGGGTTCTCAGCATAGTCAACCACATAGTCATCTAGGTAGACAGGCCTCTGAATTGCTCTACGTGGATGTCAGGATGAGGCAGGGGCAGACTTTTACAGTTCAGACTCTGGGGTTGCCAAGATAACGACCTGGCTCCGGCTCGAAAGACCAATAATGTAACGAAAGTGGACTGGTTCTTAGGTAAATTTGGTCATCACCAAGCTTAATCAGCTTACAAGTCAACTCTGTCAGACATAAAACCTGACGGAGTTGACGTCTGATTGAGTTGACAAAACTGAATATTTTTCCACCTTAACCACGTGTTGTACAGTAGAACAAAATTTTTTTATTTTTCCCCCAGTTGTAGCTGCCTTAATAAACATAAAAAAATGCCAAGATTTATCCCACAACTATTTACAGAAACTATAGGGATGATGAAGTTGACATGTTAAAGCTGTGACTGCAGAGACTTGAACGTTGTCTGTATTTTAAAACAAAAAGTTAAAACTTTCAGGATTATGTGTCCGTTACTGTGAGATATGGCTCCATGGTAAAGATGTCCATGGCATTGCCTGATTTATTCAGAGTTATAAAAACTCCTGACGGAGCTGACGCAAAGTGAGGACACAACTTTGAAAGGCATTTTCTTTTTAAATGGAAAATATAATTCAAGATTTACTTTTTGTATTGTTTGATATATATGACAGATCTCTGCCTTTCAATTTAAATGTATATATTTTTTAATTTGTTGCATTTTTAAACACTTTGTTTGGCAGTTTTACATTGTGACCTCTTTCTGCGGACAGGTTAAATTACATGTATTTTCCAAGTATAGAGCATGTATTTAAAATAATATTAAATACATTATTTACAAATAAAAGCAATAAATGTCCTGAGTATCCAGATTAATAAATATAATTTTATAAAAATAATATGCCATATTTGGTATTGAGTAAGGGTCTGTTAGTGATTGGGATTTCCATTAGATGGCAGCAAAGTCTGTCTTTATGAGTAAGTCAGTAGCAAAGACTTTTATATTGAAAGGGACTGAAACAAGGTTGTAAACAATAAGATGTAACTTACAAATGCATTGACTAGCACTGTTATTAGAAATCAAAGGCTAAAGGACAAAGACAAAGATATCGCTTTCCTCAGCGGACATTCAAACTGATTTTGTGATTATGAATATAAGATTGACTTGAAGAATGTCAGCTAGATGCAGGTAATGCACTCGCTTAATCGATCTCTCTCATAATACTCTACATAATACAATAAGCTGCAATTAAGCAACTCAGCGTTCCTTTGTTATTAGCTCTAAGCCTTGGGCTCAACTGTTAAATTGTCAACTTGAGATTTGAATCCGTGGCGGAAGTAAGTGGTTCCGCTCAAAAGAGGGGTTTTAAAGACACTCCGTTGTTGTTTCTTATTCATTTAGACAGTTTGTGCTGTTTAACTGTTGTATAAATGCATTATCACACTGCGATATGGCTCTTTATCAGTATGGCTGTGACAGCCATGCTGATATAGAGGAGATGGTCCTCACTGCAGAACACGAAATCCAGGGGGAGGAGTTGCATCCAGATCCAACTCCTCCTACCTTACACATACCTAAACTACCCATCTCCGCCCCCTGATCCCTAACCCCACCCCTAATCCTACTCATCTCCACCCCCTGATCCCTAACCCCACCCCTAATCCTACCCATCTCCACCCCTTAGATCTGGATCCAACTCCGCCCCCTGGATCTCGTCTACTGCAATGAGGTGCTACTGATATAGAGTGACATCGCATGGCAACTTGTGTGATACATATATACATATATATAAGGAAGTGACGCATGTGGATGCCAGACCTCGTGTCTCTGGAGTGACTGAGCAGTACAGAGCACTTAGGCGGCTGCAGCTTATTACCTTTGAGTAATTGAGGCCTTGGACAGGGGGTGGAGAAACCCAAGAACAGAGAAATGCACATCAGAACCTAAAGTACTTCATGTGAAACATCTATGGGCAACACATGAAATAGCACAATAATTCTGAATGATTATGCAATATATATATATAAAAAAGTTCACTGGTGGCTGTGCTATGAGTAAACAGCACTGTTGTAACCTGAAAATTGGATGTTTTTTTGGGGGTTTTTTTACAGTCCATTTCAAATATTATAATTGATATTTTATATAATGGAACAGATTACATGAGTTGATTTCAAGTTATAATCCTGATTAAACAGGAACACAAATATTAGCGATAGGGGATGGAAGGAGTCCACCAATTTCGGTAAAATGCAGTGAATGTGTGTTGAACATTATACCTAAATCTTAGCCCAGTTCAATTTCAATCATTATATAAGTTATGTTGATTATTTGTTCGTGTGTATAATTTTGTCGGGATTTGGGGATTCCCATTTGGGGAAATTATCTATTCAGAAGGACAGATGTGGGTAAGAACATTACAGGGGAATGAAACTGAAAAACACAATCTCAGAGTTGCCAGCTTTATGTGTGCGTCATAAAGCTATTTTGATTAGCATCACAGATTTTATCTGTAATAACCAAAAATGATAGTCATGATAATTATATTTGTAGTCGTCATCATCATCATAACACCCTCACTACCATCAACATATTTTTTTATCAATTCTTGAACAATCTAATTAAGCTTACTCATGAACATTACAGAAACATCTCATTATGAAATCCTGCGTACATTTATTGAATCCGCTCCTAACAATTTATAATAACTTATATTATGTACCTGTTGTTAAATATACAGTATATAGACCAGTAGTTCAAGTGCATTCATAAGTGGAAAATATAAGGGAGGCCCGGGCCATATTTGCACAGGAAAGTTGTCACAACCCTATATCAGTAACTACAAGTCAAAAGCAAATTACACAAATGCCTGGTGTCTTTGTTGTTTCCAAAGGTCAAAGTTTTCCAGAAATATAATTTGGGGTAAGTTGGGCTATCATTGGGCTTTACTGTATGCTGTCTATCTATAGAAATTGAATTTCAGAAATAAATATATCCTTTGAAATATTCACAGTAAAAGTGCAACAACTAGCTCCAGGTTCCCCATACACACCAAAGTTTGATTGCATATCTATTTTAATCTAGGTATGTCAATGACATATTTAGCATTATTTAAAGTAATAATGATTTTATAATATTAATAAATCATAATATGATTTATTAATATTATAAAATCATTATTACTTTAAATAATGATTTAAAGTAATAATGACATTAAATATAATATTATTATAGCGAGTTACCCCATAACCTCCCCTTCATTTTCATGTAAATTTGCAGAATAAAGGAATCCTGTCATCGCCACTGCCCACGTGCAGAGCTAGATTGCCCGCTGCAGGCAGAGCGCGGGAAGACAGGGCGCGGGAAGCGCGCGGAGCTTCACACAGCAGGACGCTATGGAATAATTTACCTCAGCTGCCTTCGCTGCAGATGAAGCCAAACTAAATGTTTCAAGAGGGGAAAAATACTTATTGCTTAGTTTTTTTTTTTTTTTTTCGTAATTTGTCTCTGTTAAATAGGAAACCTGGACACTTATTCCAACGAATGAAGTAACATTTTCTAAGGAAAAAAATATGAGAAATTGTGCAAAACGGAACAGAATGGACGCTCAAAGCCTCAGAAGAGTTCACAGATGAAGCTCGGTGCTAAATAAGCTGTGGCTTTTATCTCAGAACACGAATCGGAGATGAGATCGCCCTTAAACATAATGTTACATCGCTGACGAAGAAAAAGAGAGAGAGAGAGAGAGAGAGAGCGAGAGAGAGAGAACACACTGATGCGCGCGCGCTCCCGGTGCGGCACTCAGCGCGCTCAACAGCTCGTGCCTCCTCCATCCCAACCCTCTCCGCCAACGCCGTCTCTCCAATCTCTGCCCTCTCCCTCCCTGTTCGCTTTTCTTAAAGCTCATTTCCGTGACGATCCGAAGCTTTTCACCGACACGATGAGAGACGCGAGCAGTGCAGCAGTGGGACAAATCGAACCGAGCCGCTTCAAACGGAACTGAGCTCCAGAACTGAACGAACCGGCATCACAAAATAGAACCAAAAAAAAGGAGATTTCATTCAAATCACGTCTTCATCTTCTCTCTTCTTGGTCTTAGAGAGAGAGCGAGAGAGATAGAGGAAAAGCACAGGAAATCTTTAAACTCGCCGTTGTCGGATTCTCCGTTAAAAAAGGTGAATTTTGAGCGTTTCAGATGTTCACATACTTTTGGAGACGAGAGAATGACCTGGGTGATCCACAGCAATAATCTCTGTATTTAATAAAATGATGCATTGACTTGTTTCTGATGTAACTACGCAGACTGCTTTACAAATAGTACCAGCTTCAAATGGTACTTTAGCAAACGAATAATAGTAAAAAAAAAAAAAAAAAAAAAATTAAAACAACCTAAATACTAATAATAAAAAAATCTAAATTTAGTTAAACATTGGAATTTTCTTTATTTATGCGTACATAGGGAGATTTCAAATGTTTCATTCCAATGCATGATTTTTTTTTTCATCTTTTTCTTTTTTTAGCCACCCATCAAAGGCAACCTGGGACCACCCGTCTCCAAACCCTGGAGATGTAAAGTTGGACACCGCTGAAACCGAGTAGGTATCCGCTATGTTATCACTTGGGAATGGAAGGACATTAGAATTGATTGCTAAAGCCAGGACACCAGAGAAGGGTGGGAAGAAAATACAAAGTGCGCTATTCATGGAAAATTGCTGTCTTTTCTGGACGGAAAACAAGGATCTTGCGAGAGCTTTTGGTTTTTTTTTTTTCCGTTCGAGAGCCAAGAGATCCGCAGAGTGTGGCACTCTCAGCAGCATTTGGCTCTGAGTTTCTTCACTGATCTTCTGATAACATCTGCGCTAATTAAGTGCGTTCAGACTGTGGAAAGCAAATAACCTCCGTTATGCATTGAAGGTCTAATTGGTGTTTTGGCGACAGTTTTAGGATGCACCTGTCATTGTTTTTTTGAAATGTTAAGTGGATGCAGTGGTTGATTTAATTTAAGTATGTATTTATTTTTATTTCATGTTTTTATTGATCTAATGCACTTGAGCTTTGCATGAACATGAAAAAGGCTGATTATTCAGAAGTAACAAAAGTAATATTTTGCCAAATGTTTCCTGTTCTGCACTGTTTGTATGTGTGTGACAGCTGTAGTGAGACTCGAAACAGACTGTTTTAATGTTGAAGTCCATTGAACAGGTTAAATGTGCTTTCTTTCATGCAGTGCTTAAAAACATTAGTGGTGATTATGCCCTTGAGTCCTGCTTTTGGGTGTAGTGTAAGCTATCATCGAGTGAGAGATGTCCAGTCCAACCCATGATAATGCATGATCTTTATCGTAAACATGCAATGATGTGGAAGGAGGAGGTTTTTTATAGTGCAGAACGCTCAAAGCATTGCGACTGTCACTCGATGTATGAGCCTTCTCATCTCACACGCTTCTCTTTTTTTCTGTTTTATTGCAGTGCTGTGAAGTGGCTCTCAGCCTTAACTTCATCAGGACTCGGCGGAAGGATGCTGTGGTTTACCCTGCTAAGCACAATAGCTTTAGGATGGACTACGCCGATCCCTCTGTTGGACGAGTCGGAAGAAATAGATGAGCCTTGCTTTGACCCTTGCTACTGTGAAGTCAGGGAGGGTATTTTCCACGTCCACTGCGACAGCAAAGGATTTACAAATGTCAGCCAGATCTCCCAGACATGGACGAGACCCTTTATACTCAATCTGCAAAGGAACTCCATGCGCAAGCTGTATTTTAACAGCTTTTTGCATCTCAACAATGCTGTGTCACTCAATCTGGGGAATAATGCGCTGCAGGACATACATGTGGGCGCGTTCAATGGCCTGAGCATCTTGAAAAAGCTATTTTTGCATGAAAACAAACTGGAGGTGTTCAGGAATGACACTTTTATGGGGCTGGAGAGCCTTGAGTATCTTCAGGCGGATTACAACGTCATCAAGAGAATAGAGAGCGGGGCGTTTCGGAACCTGCACAAACTCAGAGTACTTATTTTGAATGACAATTTGATACCTGTGCTACCCAATTTATTATTCAGGTCCGTATCGCTCACGCACCTTGACTTACGTGGCAACCGCTTAAAAATTCTACCCTATAAAGGGACTTTGGAATACATCGGTCGGAGCTTGATGGAGATTCAGCTCGAGGAAAATCCATGGAACTGTGTGTGTGACATTGTGCAGCTCAAAACCTGGCTGGAGCGCATACCCTATACAGCTTTGGTGGGTGACATTACTTGTGAATACCCATTTCATTTACATGGTAAGGACCTTCGTGAGATCAAGAGAAGTGAACTTTGTCCTTTACTCTCCGAAGCCGAGCTGGAGGCCAAACATGGCATTCCTAGATTACCATTTAATAACGACAATGTCTGGCCCACCAAGCCTTCGTCTATGTTGTCATCCTTTCATAACACAGCCTCCTCAGTAGAGTACAGAGAGAGACACGTAAAGCCGACTAAACGGCCCAGACCCACAAAAACACCACCCACTCCTCGTAGCATTTACCCAGGGTTGAATCAGCCTCCAATTGCTGCCTACCAGACCAGACCCCCTATACCAATCATTTGCCCGACAGGGTGCACATGCAATTTACACATCAATGACTTGGGCCTCACCGTCAATTGTAAAGAGAAAAGCTTCCACAACATTTCTGAGCTTCTACCACGACCACTTAACGCCAAGAAACTCTATTTAAGTGGGAATTTGATTCAGAAAATTTACAGGTCCGACTTTTGGAACTTCTCTAGCTTGGATTTATTGCACTTGGGTAACAATCGGATATCATATGTTCAAGAAGGCGCATTTATGAACCTACCTAATTTAAAAAGCTTATATTTGAATGGCAACGACATTGAAAGGCTCACTCCAGGCATGTTTCGTGGTCTGCAGGCACTTAGTTACCTGTATTTTGAGTACAATGTCATTCGAGAGATCCAACCGGCTGCCTTCAGCCTCATGCCAAACCTGCAGTTGGTTTTTCTCAATGACAACTTGCTGCGCACCCTGCCTGTGGATGCTTTTGCCGGCACTTCCCTGGCTAGACTCAACCTGCGCAATAACTACTTTCTGTACCTTCCTGTGAACGGAGTACTGGAGCATCTCCACTCCATTGTTCAAATCGACCTTCACCAGAATCCTTGGGACTGCTCTTGTGACATCATTCCACTCAAGCAATGGATTGAGAAGCTCAGCTCCGTCATTGTCGTTGGAGAAGTGACCTGCAAGACCCCAGACTTCGCCCTTGGCAAGGATCTGCGCACCCTGGAGGCTGAGGTTATCTGCCCTGAGTTGAAATTCACCGCTTCTTCTCCAGTTCTCCCCAATGACATGACGGCCACCAGCGGCTCTGAATTGGGACAAGCGCCGGGAACGGGAGCTGTCCCTCTCTCTGTGCTGATTCTCAGCCTGCTGATTCTCTTCATCTCCTCTGTGTTTGTGGCCGCTGGTCTCTTCGCATTCGTCCTACGGAGGCGAAAGAAACTTCCCTTCAGGAAGCGACAGGAGGTGGACCTAACTGGCATTCAAATGCAGTGCAAGATCTTTGAAGAAAGACAGTCTGCCTCGCCTGAGAAGCCACCCCGTCACGTCTACGACTACATACCCCATCCCGTTACTCAAATGTGTAACAATCCCATTTACAAACCACGAGAAGGAGAGATTGAGGGCGAGCAGTTTGCAGAAACCAAGGAAAATAACAGTAATTATCGAACTCTTCTGGAGAAAGAAAAGGAATGGACGATGGCGGTGTCCAATTCCCAGCTCAACACCATTGTCACCATCAATCAGTCCGGTGACATGACTGGCTTTCACGAGAACGGAGTGCTTTGCCCTACCGTGATTGACAGCCAGAGGCCGACACCTACGGTTGGTTTTGTAGACTGCCTGTACGGCACCGTTCCCAAATTAAAGGACATGCATGTTGCACATGCACATCCCCCCGGAATGCAATACCCTGATTTACAGCAAGATGCCAGATTAAAAGAAACATTACTTTTCACTGCGGGGAAAGGATTCCCCGAGCAAACCCAAAGTGAATACCTCGAGTTAAGGGCGAAACTCCAAACCAAGCCGGATTACCTCGAAGTCTTAGAGAAATCGTATAGATTCTAATTGAATAGAAAAACAAAAGAGTAAACTCACTTTCACAACCCCTCCTCGCCCAAAAAGAATACGTATCAAAAAAGAAGCATGGCAAAATTATATGTTTCACACACGTACACATACACACTCACACACACATTTCCCCCAAGTCGCTTTTGGAGGAAAGGCCATACTCAGATTTTTCAATGAAGTGCCTTTTTTTTCAGAGTAGCCAGCAATGTTACCACCCATTATTTTTGTACGGAACAGATTTGTTGTTGAACCTCCGGAGCGCCTGGCACAGTTTGTAGAATATTTGCAGTTTGCTGCATGCATTCGACTGCAGATGGAGGTCATTGATAAAAAAACTTCACCTGCTATAGAGATACAGCGACGTATTACCCATTGAGTGGTCTATTTAATTTTCTATACAGCAAAAGACAGAGTTCTATCTCAAGGACGCACCAGAGGATCAATATTTGTGAATATATAATGACGCTTCAAGATTTTATGGAGTTCAACGCACTTTCTTAAGAAAAATGCTTCTGGATACTATCACTAACAGCTTTTTAGGAAGCACTTTTAATGTTTTCTCTCTCTCACAAAGATTTGACAAAGTTAAAAATGTGCATATATTTATTCTGTAATTTCAGTGAAAGATTTAATTGTAAAGGTAATGTTAAATCAATGTATAGTGATTATGCGTCTGGTATAGCCTTCTTAATAAAAATACAAAGTCTTAAATAAAAAGGGTACCAATGCATACTGTTTGTGAGAAATAGACTTGACGTATTGGTATGGCGCTTCAAATGACAAATTATAAAATGCACATTAACCTATCAAGGTCTCATTGCTGCTAGAAGAGTCAGGTTGAGACAGTCTGATGGTCCTGCCTGTATGCATGTGTCATCGATGGGTTTGGACAAGAAAAGGAGACCTTGGATTAGATTCGAGTCTTTCTGTAAGGTATGTTTTTATACCTGTCCACTGCTTACTAAATTACACAACATTTGAGATGAATATTTAATGCAATGTCACTTTTACATGTGTCCACAAGAGTGAGATAGAGAGACACGCTCGCATCATGTCTGTGGATGGACAAAATTGATGTTTGATTATTTGAGGAACGCCACTTATTTTTTCAGGTATGATATACAACTTTGTGAAACATATGACATTTGATTATAAATTCTGCTTGTTTGTGTTGGGGGTCTTTAATATTTTCTGTCGATGCATCACTCAAGTGACATGATTACGAACTAGAAAGTGATCTATTCGACAAAAACTGATTTTCTACTCCCCATTCGACAACAAAATGGCTATTTTTTAAAACCAAATATTTTACGTCTGTTTGCCAGTCCCAGTTACCTTGAAGTTCTATCCATAACCATTTAATACAAACATTGAAAGACAGTTCATTGAAGTATGATTATTTTTCCCGAGGCTGTCAAGGATGCAGAACATTATTTCTTTATTTGTTCTTATTATTCAGTTGACAAGTGTAGCTTCTGTTTCCTCTGTTCAATACCCACCAATAATTTTATTTATATTTTGTCCCTACATTCATCTTTTACCCAGACTGTTTTGTCAATATTTCAATAAATTTTGCTTGGTCCATATTTAACAGCACTCCCTTTTTGTGGAAATCTGTTTCACATCAATAATAATGTTCAAACAGAGTACATTTTCGGTCAGAAATATTCATAAATGGTTGTTAGTTTGGTGCCCTAAAGTGCATGCAAATGCCATTTTTCAGTATCTTTACTGGGTTTGTTTCATCTCTGCATTCTTTTTAGTACTGTGAATTATTCTTCTGTAGAATGTGAGGTGTAACTGTTGTAAGTGAATGTGTCACTTATAGATTGTGTAGTGATAACTAAAGATGTGTTCAGCTTTTGTCTGGATTCCTCACTGTGATGAAGAACTGCTCAGGGGACAGTAACGGTCATAGGGACAATGTCACCTTGCTGTGGATTACATCTAGGTTGCCCTTGTCTCTATATTTCAATGTAATGATCTTTATTTTTTGCTAAAGGGTAGAGAAGCTAATGATGGATGACGGTGGTGTCAACAGAGTTCTTTTTTTGAACGAATGATGTTCCATAGAGTTGACCTGGGTGAAATATGTAATTAGAACTGTCATTTTTGTCATAGCAACAAATAGTTGTTATTGTATTTTTTTTTAATTGCCTCCCTTATTGGTTGCAGTAATCTATATAATATACAACTCCAAAACAAATTAAGGACAATACCTCAAAAGAATTAAATGCACCGTTTTAGAGACTCAAGGGGAGTCTGGGCCATTTTATGACCATAGTTTTACATGTACTACCCAGATCAAATTTGCTTTTTGCTACTTTGTCCTTGCCGTCTTTTGCTGAAAAATATTTTTTTATGCTATGTTATTGACCTTCATTGCTTTTAGCTGTTCCTCTACTTGCAAATGTGTTTATTTCCCCCAAAGTCTTTTAATACATTCCCCTGAGGTCAGTCTTTGCTTGTTGGATTTATACCAGGGCAAATGATTATTTGGTTGGTTAGGGTTTATGTAATCTATACTTGACTTATGTCAACACAACGTAGCTCATTTGTAGTATTGAGCGATTTCCTACATCGATGTCATTGTTTTGTTTTGTGGCTTGGTCCTGACGAACCATCGACATGGCTGCCGTCCTTGGCTTGCTTGTTTTTTGATGTGGTCTTTGCTGTGGGGGTTTGTTGTGATTCATTCTAATTTCACTTACTTTCTGCCTCCTCTTGATGGTTTGTTCTTGGGCTTTTCAAAGGGCCTAATTAGCTAAAAATTATCAAAACCCAAGGAGGTGGATTGAGGGGGAAAATTAAAAAGGAAACGGGGTAGGAATATAAAGTTGAATTTAAACAGGCCAAGCATGTAGAATCAGATAGTATCAGATATTCTGGAATGTACCCAAAATTGAAAATATATTTGTTGGAGTGCAGTTGAATGAAGATCAATATGCAATCGATATGCAAGCGTTTCTGGGTTAGTTTTATTCTGTATGACATATTTCTTACTTTTTTACTTTTCTTCATAACATTCATTGCTCAATGTCTTTTAATAAGCTAGTGTTTTGATGATTTTTAGTGGAGATTTGAAATCAGTTCACCTTAAGTTCATACTGCAATGTAACAACAGGTGTAGTCACATTACCTACTGAGTGAGAGTTACATTTAATAGCAAATACAAAGTGTCAACATACTTTTTTCATGTTCCTAACAAAACTTGTTTTGTGATTTATTTTCCTGTTTTACTTTACTTAAAGTGTGTGTATGCCTGCTGGCTTTAAAATAAATGCCAGTTGCTTTGATATTTAGTTATCGAATACAATGGCATTCAGACATTTTAAGTGGGGTTTAAGTGTCCTTCTGGGGGTCACTGTAAATCTGTGTATATTCCTGTGTGAGTTACATGGATGCTTTTCATTATTTGCTGGCATTTTTAAAGATGTTGTCAGAATAGTGAAGATGGCTTCAGAGCCAGAGGGAATAGAGAATGTAATGACTCGTGGCAGTGCCGAAGGTTGCTGTCCAAGGTGCTGAAATCAATTTGCATGCAAAGGGAATGAATATAAATTAACTCCAGCTCTATCCCTAGGATTGTACTGTTTCAAAGTTTGATTTGCATCTGGTAAAACTCTGTATGTGAAGTCTTTAATTTAATTTCCCATTACCAAACAGCATTTAAATTCTTCTGAATTATGAACTGAGAGCTGAAATGTTTCAAATCCCATTATACATTCACAGTATTAATAATGCACATTACTTCAGTGCAAAGTTAATTAACGGAAATACAGCGTCATTTACTGTATATGAAAACAGTGTTTGTTTAATGTCAATGTATTAATTACAATTTTTTTTTCTGTGCAGCGGTGCAATAAGTCAGAGCTGATAAATATCAAACCTCCCCATGTGAGCAGCCGTTCACATGTCATGTCTATACGCATGTGAGAGTTTAGTTTAAAAGAGGATAGAGACAGTAGGAGGGAGGCAGAGAATTGAATACTGTGCTTGTGAAAAAAAGTCTCTCCCTGATTTTCGTTGCAATTGCAAGTATTGTGTTAGACAGCATTGTGTTCTGGCTGATATTAAGGTGTGAGCAGACAGCAGTTTTCTTTTTCTTCTTTTGTCTCCAGTTTTTTTTTTCTTTGCAGCTCGTTCATGTAGGACAAAGAATGAGAGCAGATAGATAAATGGAGAGAAGTGGGGGGTGTCATCCGCCGCGTGAATCTGCGGTGGCAGCAGTGTAAAAGCATTCGCACGTACTTTTCTGGATTCTGCTCTTGTTACAGGGCAACCTATGATGTTACTGACGCTTTGCCAATGTACATTTTTTCCATGTCAATACAGCTTAAATGGATGGATGGATGGATGGATTGTAGGTACGTTGATGGATAAATTGGTAGGCTAATAGATAGGCCGATCGATTGATCGACAGGCAGACAGACAGATGCTCATTTATGAGAGACGCGGTGCTGAATATTCCTGGAAATGTTCTGATCACATTACCAGGCGTTCTTGTGCTATAATGCATCAGAGAGGTTTGTGTGAATGCTGGAAAGAGGGTGTTGTGTACTGTATTGTAGCAGGCAGTTAACTTCCTTTGGCTCTCGGAGCTATTAGAATGCACCTCAGAACGGTACAGACACAGCTGAGTGTATCGATCCAAGCTGGCAGCGCCTGCCACCGCTCAATAGAAATATCTATGCAAGCACTTGATCGTGACTGTGTGTGTGTGTGTGTGTGTGTGTGTGTGTGTGTGCACTTTCTTGTGATGTAAGTTCTTATGGTGGGAGGGGGGAGGGAGGTTTCAAACTCATTGCATCTGTGCAACACTGAGCCAGGGTTGTGCAGTTTATAGCTGTGTTCGCGAGTGGGTTAATGGTGGAAGTGTTGCATAAGCAAGGTCACTTGCGTCATATGTCATTAGGTGATGATGAAACCCACATCAATCATTTTTTTCAGCGAACCCTTTCGTACCTGCTTAATGCAAATCAGAGCATTGTTTGTTTACATTTGCGTGCGACAGCTGCACGTAGCCGCATCATTAATAACTGCAACGCTGACATTTACTCCTCAATCTGGCACTGTTGACTTCCTCTAGACGGTTAGCATGCAGCGGATGCACAAGCGGAAGTGTTGTGTGCTTGTGCGTTTTGTATGCATGTTTTTTTTTGGGGGGGGGGGGGTTGTGCACACGCATGAGGTATTCTACAGAAACAGGACTTTATGTATAGAACTTCTCAAAAAGGCTCTTACGAATATGGTAAAGCTTTGAATTGAGTGTCAAAAAATTCTTAGTAAAAGAGAGCTAAGCTAAAATAAACTTTCAGAAAATTCTAAGAATGACTCTTGGTGCTAAATGAGGTGGCACTCAGGACACTACAATGATGTCAACCCAAAAAGCCTGGAAGGGTACGGTAGCACGACACCAATCATTTGATGGAATTATAATAAAATCATTATTATTATCATTATCGTAAGACACCGAAACATTTAATATTTCAATTTATTTTAGATAATTGCATTGTGCAAAATTATCACGGATAAGTATTGATGATGTGGAATCCTTTTCTATTGATATATGTCTCCTCAAAAAGAATACCTTGGCGATCATGCTTGTATCGTTTTATTAAATCCCTGTCATCATAACTCCAATACATTGTCTTTTTCAGAAAATGTGTGGTCTCCTCCTCTCTGCTGCCATCTTGTTACTCGAGTTGAGACCTCGTCTTAACACATAGGAACCTTTATGAATCACACGTATGCTTAAGTTTAGGAATAAGACTAAAATTACATCATTCTTAGAATTTTGACACGCTTAAGAAGACAAAAATTTTACTCTGAGAAGCTTAATACAAATGGCAATATTCCAACCTAAAATCGAAAGAAAAATTATTAAACAAATTTTGGGATATTTTTATTTTGTTTTTCAATTTTTTTCTTCTTTTTGGGGGTCTTATTTATTGGGATGATTTTCAGTTTTTTAATGTACTGAAATAATGTAATGTACTGTGTAAAGATTGTTTCTTCAAACATTTTGTAAATACTGCCACAGTGCATACATATTTTATCATTTAAGTAATATATATATAGCTTTAATAATTTATAATAGCCAAAAAATAGGTTATATGATTTATTATTATTATTATTATTATTATTTTGGGGTGAAATATGACACAGACATAGTCTTGACAGGATTTGTCAGATTCACCCAGAGGGGTGTGTCTGTGTGTCTGTGTGTGTGTGTGTGCGCGCTTGTGTGTGTGTTAAAAATAGGTACCTAAAATAGGTAATAAAAAAAGCTGCTAAAAGGAGCTGCTTAATTAATTTTTTGTCCTGTTAAATTATGCTGTAATCAGCTCTGGTTCAGCCTAAGCATGTCAGATCTTATTGGTGTTAAGTTCTGTGTTTGGTTGATTCATAAGTGGAAACAGTTCTTCTCTGAAAATCTGAAAAAGGACCTGCAGGTTAATTAACACAAAAACACTCATATTTCACCCGTCCTCTCGAATCTCAGGAGACTTAATGGAGATGTCAATTATGTTTTATTTAAAGGGGTCTTTAGCAGATCGAATCTTAAGCCAATCAGGACACGG